CCAGTTTCTCTCAACTTGAATTCAAATCACCAGTAAGAGTACTTTGAAATGATAGCAAGCTTGACCTTATACACCTACAATCTTCGGTGAGATTATGAATGTTTAGATGCGGGCAATCCATCCCATTTCTCAACATACGATCTATTAGACGGAAAGTTACAGCTCTTTCTCATATCATTCTTTCTAATAATCTACATGTATTTGGCATCGTTGAAACCTGGATTACATCAAATGAAAGTTATCTCATTAGGCAAATATGCCCAACCGGCTTCATGTATTTTAATTGTCCGCGTGAAAATAGAAGTGGTGGCGGACTGGCTTTAATCGCCCACCAGTCTTTGTGTATATCTTTAGTTCGCCATATTTGCTTCGATTATTTAGAAGCAGCCTTATTCACTTTTAATAACTTAGGTTCTAATGGACTCTTAATGCTAGTCTATCGGCCTCCTTCGGCGAACTTCAACAATTTTATCACTGAATTATGTAATTTGTTTTCTGAATTGCTACCGAACTGCCATTCTTTTATTTGCTTCGGTGATTTTAACGTTCACTTTAATAAAAGGGACAATAAATTTTTCCTACTTGAACACTTATTGAAAGAATATGGTTTGTACCAATCTGTACATGAACCAACGCACAATAAAGGCAACATTCTCGACTTGGTTTTATCATTCGAGAATAACAAGCCACAGGACGTTTCAGTTTATCCTTTTGATAAGTCAGACCATCACTTTATTAAATTTACGGTGCAGATTCTTTTCATACAAACTAAGATGAAATTACTTACATATCGCAGTTGGAAAAATGTAATTTTAGCGGAATTTGGCGACACTCTAGAATCGTCCTTGGATTTAAATGTTGGTCTTGGCATTTGTCAGAATAATTCAAATTTGATAACTGTTTTTAATCAAACCGTGGAAATGATTACGGACTTCATGGCGCCTATCAAAAAGCGGAATAAACTCATTCGGGAGTGTGATTTCTTCGATTCTGAACTTATTTTTATGAAACGTAAACGACGAAAGTTAGAAAGAATGTATAGAAAGAAGAAAATAGTTTTTAATGATTTTAAAGAGTTTGATAGGGAAATGAGAAACTGCTTTGCGGCTAAGAAACGCGAATTTTTTCGAAAGAAAATTGAGGTTATTCAAACCGATTCTAAGAAATTTAGAGCGCTTGATAAACTTATAGGAAATAAAACCGAAGCTTTTAGAGGAAATAAAACCGAAGGAAATAAAACCTTTGGCTAATAATTTTAATGATTATTTTGCTGGTAAAGTATCGAAATTGTGTACTGAAACTCTCAGTATGGATATGTTAGAAAATTCGTTTAAGGCTACACCTGTAGTTTTAATGGAAAGTTTCAGCTATATTAAACTTGAAGATTTGCATCAGGCTGTGCTATCAATGTCAAATGCAACTGCTCCTCATGATTTAATTCGAACAGTTATTTTTAAAAAGTTATGGAGCTACTGGGGACCGCATATCCTGAAAATTTTAAACCTTTAAATTGAAATGGGTAAGTTCCCCGATGAACTTAAAGAAGCAGTGATAATTCCAACTCTGAAGAAAGAAAATCTCGATCCGGAACAGCTTTCATCGTACAGACCAATTTCAAATCTTGTGTTTCTTTCGAAGTTATTTGAAAAACTTATACACAGTCAGCTTGTTGAACATGTTATGGTTTCGGGTCTCCTGGATAATAATCAATCTGCATACAGATTTGGAGCTTCGACAGAAACGGCATTGTTGAAAACATCTAATGATATATGTAAATTTTTGGATATGAATAATTACCTGATATTGATTGGCCTTGACTTATCTAGTGCGTTTGATACCCTTAGACATGATTATTTGATTGGAATCATGAAAAATTATATTGGTCTTTCTGATAACATATTGAAATGGTTTAGATCGTATCTCAGTAACCGTCGCCAAAAAGTTTTCATTGATTCACATTACTCTGACGAAGTTAATATTGAACACGGTGTTCCCCAAGGGTCGATCTTGGGACCCCTTTTATTTTGCATCTATGTTTTACCTCTTCGTGATGTGTTTCTTAAACTTAACGTATCTTATCAATCTTATGCAGATGATACCTTATTCTATGTTGCTGCAAACTTCAAAGAAAACGATTTTATCAGTGTCAAGGAGAAAGTTCACTCTATTATAATTAACGTGCTTGATTGTTACAAAAAACTTGGTTTAGTGGTAAACCCCGACAAAACTGAAATTATTTCACTCGCAAAACCAAACCATAAACTGGACCTCAAATCGTTTTTTGTTGGCTCATATGAAGTTAGGGTGTTGAATGAATTGAAATCATTAGGTGTACTTATTGATAAAAACTGGAATGCGGTTCCCCATATAAACAAAGTAACGCAGACATGTTACTTCGTCCTGCGGAAATGATACAGCGTTGGCTACTATTTGGATTTTAATAACCGTGTTATTCTTGTGAAAAATCTTATTTTATCGCGACTGGATTACTGTAATTCGCTGTTTTTAAGTTTACCGGACAAATTGATTAGAAAATTACAACGAATACAAGATGCCGCTGCTAGATTTGTGTTTCAGGCACATCGGCAGACGTCGGCAACGATCCTTCTACATGAACTGCATTGGCTGCCGGTTTGTCAGCGTATTAAGTTTAAGACTCTAGTTCTTCTCCACAAAGTACTTCATGATGACAGAATGGCCCAATATTTTGATGACATAGCAATATCGATAAGGCAACGATTTTCGATCAACAGATGGAATGCCACCATACGTTTATCCATGGCGCGTTCAAAATATGGAAAGAGATGTTTCACGTTTGCAGGACCGAAGTTATGGAACAGTCTGACGCAGGAGCTTAAATCAGAATCGGATGAATTGCTATTCAGGAAAAATTTGAAAACCCACCTGTTTCGACAATATTTCTACTAAGAACAGAACACCTTTGAGTCTAGAAAGGGTGTCAAAATAAACCCATGAATGAATGAATGAATGAATGGAAAGCATGCCACCTTTGCACTGAAAAATAGTCTTTTGTTTTTCGTTCCGCGCGCTTTTAAAATGATTCCACAGATCTGGTGAGAAGGCCCTGCTTGGCCCTTTAGAAGCAGCTGTGTGTTTTGCGCGAGACATTGGATCAATTAATTTCATCGAAAAAAAACTTCATATAAAGACCAAAGAGTTATACTCTTTGGGGCTGGACCAATCATCTGATCTTTTTCCAATTAGCCTGTGCAAAAAAGAAGCCAGTGGTAAAAGCAATGACTGATTTACCGGAATCCATGACAGCTATTTTGAAATCGAGCAAGCTATGGTAGGCTCCAACTGTTTCAGACTTTCAAAAACTCTTGACATTAATCTTCAGTTTCCGGCTTAGGGAAGTGAACCATCGGATCCGTCTGCTCGTTCACTGTAACATAATAAATAATTAATGTTGTTGTTGCTGTTTTTAGCCACAAGGTGGCGCGTCCGGTATGCTCAAACTGAGCCCCAGAAACGTCTCAACTTCAAACGGATGAATCCTCGTCTACTGGGATTTGAAAAAATGGTGTTCTAATTAACGGTCAAAAAGATAAAGAGCGGTGTCGGGGAAAGGACAGTGAACGTGGACGCAGTTTAGTGGACAGTTGGGGTCAATACGGTTCAGGAAAGTTTTGAGGAAGGGAATGCACCCGGATCAACTGTGCGGATAAGGTTCTCCCAGTGGAGAGGGAGGGACCCTTAGGAGAGAGGTACCCTTCTGAGTGGACTCTTTCGAGGGTGGTGCATCTGATATTAGCTGGCTGACTCTATATGAATAAAATTGCTTTTGAAGCACTTTAAATTGAAAAAGATAGAAATTTTATCCGCTAAAAACATTGAAAGACGTATGGGTAATAGTTTCAGATATGATATTTTCAATTTTGGGGCCTATAAACTTAAGCAGTGACAGGCAGATATTCCAGATGTTTAGAATCATGATGGAATTGAAACATGATGAAATCAAGGTTACTGCGCATAGGAAACTGCGCAGCCAGTAAATGATGGCAGTGGTCCATTTTAACTTTATATTCTCGATAAAATGTTCCATTGCGCTTATCTTTGTGCACCGTAATTACAAAGGGAACTGCACTTGAAACATCCGCACGCCAAATTGAGTTGCTCTCCAGCGCATCTAACTTTCTGCCGTAGAGAAAAATAACATGCCAACAGCATCAGAAGTGCGACTCGGTGACCAGAAAGATATTCCCCGGCAGAGATTCAGCGGCGAAGGTATGCGAATGTCCTTCAAAGCAGCAGGCGCTACCTCGATGAATATTTGCGACTCAAAGGCATCCCAGTTAACTCTGCGCACATCACTCTCAAGAGTTCTAAAATTGACTTAGCCTTGTCATTTATTGCATATCTCCGAATAAAACGGTTACTAGATAGAACTCACACCTTTTTGCCTGAAAAAAGTAGATTTATCCAATCTTTTTGTGAACCCAAGTTTTGTTAACCCAAAGTTCTCGAGATCATTTTGATACTTTTTACAAACAATTATGCCATAAAAAATTACAGATCATTCGCAGGGACGTTTACATCGATATTTGTCTGATAGGCAATAGTATTCTGGCGAACTTGATAACACTTCAGAAGAAACAGCTGCTTATCCCATTTGCTGATGGTATATTTAAGCCACCAATAGACCATTTTATTCAGATTCAATTGATAGATGAGCGACTAAACTGGTAGAAAAACCGATAAAAATGGTCAAAATCAATTTAAGAAGATCCAACTTAGCGTTAAAAGTTTAGAATTCCAGTTCGCATGATATCGAATTTAATCCAGATTTGAACAATTGTTCAACTAAGTTGTAGCTTACAAAATATTTCAATCACCCACCCGAAGCTTTACATGCAATTAAAAATACAATTAACAGTTTTAATCTCGTTTTAAATATACAGTTTTAAAAATGCAATTAGTTGGAAAAGAGTCAATTAACGCAATTAAACAAAAAAAAACTGACTTAATTTTTTTGAAAAACCTCAACTTTCGAAACTTGAAGAAAAATTAGACGCCCTTCAAGCTCTTCGAATATCTAAAACAAATTATGATGGCACTTTTTCGATGAAATTACGCCAATTCGAGAAAACTCGATCAATAGGTAAATTTATTATTTCGCTGGGAAATCTAAAAATCAAATTCCATTTTCGAAACTAGAAGTCAATCACGTTTTTTGTTACCTTTAACGTTCGCTGTTCGATACTGGAATTTGCCTTCCTTTCACATAGAGGCGAAGCTGCGCTTTGCTAACACTTGCGAGAACATGACCAAAAAGCAGCTCTATCAAGTGTCATAAGGAGAAGTGGAAATAAGCCTAGAATTAGCAAAAACTAGGCTACGTGTAGGATTCGAATCTGCGACCTACTGCAATCAAGTGATTTTGAGTCTCACGCACTTTACACTCAGCCACGGAAGCTTAACAACCGACAAACACTAGTCACGAATAAAGCAGCTACATATGCTAATAAATTGCCAATGCCATTCAGCAAAACTGGTACCAAATAAAATAGACTCAATTTTGCAACTTTCGAAATTTGAAGAAAAATTAGATGCCCTTCAAGCTCTTCGAATATCTAAAACAAATTATGATGGCACTTTTTCGATGAATTTACGCCTGAGAAAACTCGATCAATAGGTAAATTTTTTATTTAGCTGGGAAAGCTGAAAATCAAACTCAATTTTCGAAACCAGACGTCGATCACATTTTTCGTTCCCTTTTACGTTCGCTGATCGATAGTGGAATTTGCCTTCGTTTCACACAGAGGCGAAGCTGCGTTTTGCAAACACTTGCGAGAACACGACCAAAAAGCAGCTCTATCAAGTGAAATAAGAAAAGGTGAAAATAAGCTTCGAATTAGCAAAAACTAGGCTACGTGTAGGATTCGAATCTGCGACCTACTGCAATCAAAAGACTTTGAGTCTTACGCACTTCCCACTCAACCACGGAAGCTTACCAACCGACAAACACTAGTCACGAATAAAACAGCTACATATGCTTATAGATTCCCAATGCCATTCAGCAAAAGTGGCAGCGCCATTCAGCAAAAGTGGCACCAAATAAAAATAGACTCAATTTCGCAAGTAATAATTTTGAATATAACAAACTGAAGGTATCAACACTAATTTTGCATGAAACATATTGCAAAGCATAAAGCCACATTATGAACAAATTATGCATTTCAGAAGATTGCGATATATGAGTTAGAAAATTTCTGAAATCGCGGTTTCATTATTGCCATGTTGTTTGAAACAAACCAATTTTTTTCGGTTCATTTGATAAATTAAAAATGCATCTACTCTGTGGACTTGTTACTATTCGAATGTCAAAGACATGCTTTTAAAAAGCTGTTAAGTTGCCCCAAAAGTGGTACCAATATTTGCGACTTAGGCTATAAAAAACAGAAGGTTCGTACTAATACACTCGCTTCGCAAGTTTAAACAAAGGAAATAAACTGAACAAAAAAGTAAACCAAAAGACAACACGCGAAAAAGTGAATTTGAGCCTGAACAAATTGCAAGACTTTCCCGAAAAAAGTCATCGCGACCTAAATAAGAGTCTAACTACGTTCATCGACTATTAACAAATGATTTACGTTTTTTCGCGCTAATTTCAGTTTTGTGATTCGAGACTAATTTGCATTCCATTTAGAAAACGTATTTGATGTTGAATAATCCACAGCCAAACAGCTTATATTGAACCCCTAGATCCGTTTGTGGCTCCTATTTCAGATATAGTACTAGTGGGTGCGTATAAGATTTTCGCTTTTGATGATTTAAACACAGGCGAAAATGCACATCGCATACACAAGCAAAAATATGACCGATAATGCTACTGGGAGAATGAGTAAAACTTTGAGTCTACAAAATTTCGAGACGCACGCCAATTATGAGTCTACATAATTGCTAAGTGACGCAAGCCAATTAAGACGCATTGGCGCAGTACCAGTCAATTAAAAAAAAAATTACCAACTAACATGTCTTAATTTATAGAGCGTACGCATTTAAACTAGTATACGAAAACGTTCATTAAAACATCCGACCCTGCCCAGGTTCGAACCCTCTTATTTTGCTGCTGGTCTCCCTCCCTACCTCTCCGCTACAGATCCATGATGCCTTGAAGCTAAGTGTTATTTGTAATATAATATTCTGTGTTAATATCCTTAGCATTGGCTGTACTTAAAACCTGGATCAAAATGAACACTTTCAAAATGAACACATTTTGTCGAAACAATTGCATCGCAACAATATTTGCGCCCTAGGTTGAAAAAAAGAACGTTAATACTATAACACAAGCTATGCTTGTGAAATGACAGGATAATTTATCCTTCTTTTAAATAAAATGACCCAAGTATCGTACTTCCACATCGAAAATTGCAGCCTATTCAGAAAAAAATCGTTCATATTTTTAGCTCTAAATATTAACTGTGAGAAATAGTGAAAACAAAATACATCATCAATCATCATAAATGAAACTGCATGGCTACAAATTTCTGAATCAGGGGTCGACAATCAATTCTCTGATGAAGATGGGTCCGAAATGCATGCGCATTCCTGGGTTCAAACAACTTTGTAGCGTCCTTGCTGCCTCGTGCCTTGGTTTGTTTGCTAGAACAAGACAGTCAGCTTTAGAATTGTCAAACGGAAAAATTTCAGACTAATTAAGGGCTATTTTAACTTTGAACATGAAAAGGTTCATTCGAACATAGCCTGAAGAGAGTTAGAAAGTTGTGAATCAAATTTAAAAAATACAAAAAATACTGTTTTTTGAAATATTTTATGTTTGCGTATTTCAAAGAACGAACCACATCGCCGTCAACCGTTAATCATCATCATAAAATTTGATGATTGACTTTGTCACCAAACTAACTACAATTGCAAAACCAGATCATTGAAAAATTTTGTCTTTTTTTCTTTCTTGGCTAATTTAAGAATTAGAAACTTTCGTGCACTATGTATACTTCCTGTGTTTCTACAAGCAAACTCACCAATCGCACAAGTTCTTCCTTGATTATTCTGATCAACTCCGCTTTGCAAATGGCCACGCCTCTCTCGTGGATACCTAGAGCAACACAGAGCTTAACTCACTACAATTGCACCCATTAAAGGTTAACAGCCGCGGATCTAATATTTTTTGGAGACGAGGAAAAAGGAGGGATTATGATTTTTTATACTTTAGGCCGACCAAATTAACTTTCCTAGCTCTTGTCAAGTGCTAAAAACACTCTATTTCGCTTTAAAGAATTCGCCATCCACGGGCAGTTTTTGTAGTATAGTGTCGAGTATGTTACTCACTTTCGATGGCGAGGAACAGTTTCCTCTCTCCCTCGGGCGGCGTGTGTCCGCTGGGGTAGTACTGTCCCTTCACCGTGATCATGCAGTCAGAGTACTCGGCCAGGTGAGTGAGAGTCTCACGCGACAGTACCTTGAATCTAAGCCACAAACACACACACACACACACTCATGAATATTCGATAACAGCGTTTCTCTGCAAAGAGCTGAACAGTTTATTTTTTGGTCCTTTCCTGGTAGATACATTGTCTTAATGTTAACATTAACTCGTATCACATCAACACATTCATAGCTTGTAGAAGGGACATTAGCAGCTGGATTACTATGCGAAATTTCACTGAGAATGATGAATTTGACCTATTGGGGCTGAGGCTAAAAACACGTAAGTCGGATTGTTACCTGGCGGTGGCGGGGAAATCATTGATCTCCAGCTCTTCCTCGTACTTGGTCATCATGTGTGCATCCACTTCCATCTGGTGGGCGGAAGAGGCGGAGAGGGAGGAGGAGGATGAGGAGTCTGTGAGAGACCTCTGGTAGTTGAGCTTCCGGTTCAGCTTCTCCGCTGCCTGCTCAGCCGCTGATTTGCTCTGAAACACAAAACAGCTCTCAGAAAAACTAAAACATTTATTCAAGATAAAGTTCCCAGGCGCTCGATTGTACTACATCACATTGCTGAATGTGTCAACAAAGGATATGGGAAAAGATCCGGTTTTCAATTTTTTCGAATTGCATACAACAAATTACATTACCTTGAAGTTCTTTCAAATTCTAAACAAAATTCTGATTGACACTATCTTGAATTTTGTTTTGCATGAGTATGATTTCATTAGAAAGTCATATATGAATTTGAGCTTGATAATTACTCGATACCCCGGTACCACACTACAATCATCAGCATCATTATCAACTACATCAACAACTTCAAACGCAACAAGACATTGGCAAGTAGCGGTTACGTAGCAGTAAGTAGACAACTACTATATCAACCAATCAAAACCGAGATAGGAATGAAAACTGTCGAAATAAATAATTATCAATTTCCAATACTTATCAATGGTTTAATAGAGTTATTGTCTACTTACTGACGAGTATGAATAAGCACTCAGCGAAAAACGACTGCGTCACTTGCTTTAACGAGCTTAGATTTTTCACACTGTGTTTACCTATCAGTTCCGATTGTTACGATTTGGCGCCGAACTTGGCATACAAATAAGAATAGGAACAGTTGAACTGCAAGATAAAACTCTAAGTAGGACCTCTGCATATGAAGAGTAAAGAGGTTACTTACGCTGCTGCCAGTGGAGAAAGAGCCGGTCCTGAGGAATGCATTGGCCGCATCCATAAACGAAGAGTTGTCTTTGTTCATGTTGTTGGGTGTGGTTATGGCGTTGGAGCCTGTAGCGGGCACTTGAGGCCTGTGGATGGCATTGGTCATCTCAGCCGAGAATTTGGACGCCTGCTGTGGATTCTTCAGCATCTTCATGGCCAGTTCTCTCGCCTGTTTCATCTTATTGTCTATGTTCTGGTTACCTGTTAACAGTGATGTCAAATTTTGGAAGCAAGCAGTTTGATAATTTTTAACAACATAGACGCCAATACCGCTCTGTTAATTTTGGGAAAATAGTGCCCTCAAATAGAGACTAAGAAACTGACTAGAAGAAAAACTAGTCTAAATACATCCTAAACAGCATCAACGCTCCGCTTTAATTATCCAGGATAAAACCTAGCCAACACAGCTGGAAAAGCGTCAATGAACGCAAGGAAACAGAAAACATAGCCAACAGACAATTGGAACAGAGTCAATGAATGCCAATGAACAGAAAAAATACTAACTTTTTTTTTGAAAAAAAAACTAACTTCGATTTTCCGAAAAAAAAATAGATGGCCCTTAAACTATTTGAATTTCAAGAAAAATTTATGATTGACAATTTTTTCATAAAACTGACCTAATTTGAGAAAACTGGATCAGTAGGTAAGTTTATATTCGCTGGGTCTGATAATTAAATTCCATTTTCGAAATTCAAGTCGATCACGTTTTTCGCAATCTTTACACTTTTGCTGTTCGATAGTGGAGTTTACCCCTGGCCCCGAAATTAAGATTATTACGCCCTAGCAACTGCGCCATGTGTTGACCAGATATTCCTGTTGTCAAATGGTGCAGTCATGTTGTTTAAATAGTTGTTAACGTGAAAAATTCCACGTTCTGATTGAAAAGGATTGCAAATCGCAAGCTTTAAGAACATAGCTAATCGAAGATCGGAAAAGTAATGAACGCAAGTAAACAAAAAAAACACTGACTTTCTTGAAAAAATCTCAACTTTCGAATTTCTAAGAAGAAAATAGATGCCCTTAAAGTTCTTTGAATTTTTAGAACAAATTGTGATTGGCGCTTTTTTGATAACCTGAACCCAACTTGAGAAAACTGGATCAACAGGTAAAGTTTTTATTCTGCAGGAAATCTAAAAATTAAATTCCACTTTTGAAACTAGAAATCGTTCACGTTTTTTTCTCGCCATTTTCACGTACGTATGCATTATACCTCAAAAAGTGCATTATACCTAATTTCTTCCATATTTTAAGCTTTTTTCCTGAAAAAAAAACAAAAAAAATCAGCAAGACCTATATAAGAGTTTTCTCTACGTTCATTGCTCTTAAAAATGCTCATCAATGAAAAGAAGAGCTTGAGCTGCAGTGAAATAATGCAGCCAAATTTTTTGATGTCTAAAAAACGGTTGCAAAACCCTAGCAGCTCAGAAAAAGAGATTCCAGGCACAAGGAGAGATTCTAATGCGTTGTTACTGCTAGAAACAAGCAAATTTATAAAAACAAAGAACTATTTTCAGTTTTATGCTCACTGCACGACCGTAGATTGTGAAATTTTGAAGAACCAGATATAGTTTAAAAAACTGGAGTTTGAAAAGTTCTGTAGTAAGTGTAACTACTGAGTGATTTAGTTAAATACCCGTGAATATGACGGGTGCGTCGAGTGTTTTCTGAGCCTGTTCTGCCAGTCGCATCTGTTCTGCCAATTGAGCCTTCTCCTCCATACTCGGCTCCACTGACTTCACGCTCTTCTTCGTCTCAAACATCTGCTCAATCTTGCTCTCGATCTAACAAAGATACCAGAAATCACACCATCCTTGCGTTTGCTAAGGATAAAATAAGTTGCCAAATTTCGGGCAGAACCAATTGCCAATTGACTAGTAATGCAATTTGCCAATTTTGAACAACGTGCCCAAATAGAAACTTCAGATGACTAAGTGAGATAAATTATTCCTGAAAAAATAGTTTTCGCATGCAAAAATTATATTGAGTTGAGCCAATTGCTTTTTAAACTTCGGCCTTCATAGCTGTGAATATACCATGAAACATTTCCGCTGATATAAATGATACTATGTTAGGCCTCTCGCTTTTCGATCTAAGCAAAATAGCGTCACTTGTATCTTAAAATGAGTTCTACGCACTGATTTAAAATGAACTTTCCTGGCTGTTTTCACCATGTAGTTTAATCAAATTTTTCGCACTATGATGTCGAGCATTGTACTGGTTTTATGTTGTTTGTACTCACAATGTGGTCGTCCTCGTCGTCTGATTCGCCCATGCCATGTGATATCTTCTGCAGTTTCTTCCTCTCTAAGTCCATCTCCCGCTCACTTTCGTCGAACTTGAAGCCCTTCCCTCCAAATCCACCAGTACGGTATACCTCCTTCCCTAGCTATCACAACACAACAACCCATATCAAGCCAAATGAAAACCCATATAAAGCCAAATGAAAACCCATATCAAGCCAGTTGAAGGAAAATGGGACATAAGCCACGTGTGAAAATAAATTTGAAACCCTGTTCAAAAATTTAATCCGTTTGTCTCAATTTAAGTTCAATTTGAGGACAACATGTCGAGAAATCCAATCTCCAGCGTTAAACAAGCATTCGGAGCTATTTACCGAGGGGAAACTAGGCCGCCGATACTTGGAGAGACGAAAACAAAATTGATCCCAGAACTAAACTGTTGTCAAAAAAAACTTAAGAGCTGCAAGTTTTGAAACTAGAAGTTTGTACGCACTACCCCTGCTGAAACACAAAAGCATCCAACGCTATTTTTGTCCTTCAAGCGACACAATACGAGAGGAGAGTTCCTGCACTTCGCTTCAATCAAGCCAAAGCCCTTATGCTTTGCGATGTGAGAAGACAAAAACATAGCCAACAGACATTTGGAAAAGAGTCAATAAACGCAAGGAAACAAGAAAAATTAACCCAATTTGAGAAAACTATTAATCGGTAAAGTTTATATTTCGTTTCAACTTTTGTTGTTCGATAGTGGAGTTTGCCTTTTTTAACAAAAGAAAATCTGAACTTAGAAAGAAATCAAAAGTCAAAACGCGAAAAATTTCAGCGTGAACAAATTTTCGTGAAAAAAAAAACGAAAAAAAATAATCGCGACCTATATAAGAGCCTGAGCTACGTTCATCGCTTTTTAATAAGCAAATGATAGTCCGGCAATTTAACTAATCAAGAAAAAATTTCAGTTTAAATATAATCGGCCCCCGACAGGAATCGAACATTACTTTCGCTTGAGAGAGGAAATTCGAACTCTCAAAATCCAGACATGCTCAAAATTCACATCTGCTTGGTCATTCACAAATTCACATCTGCGTGCGAACTGGTATTGCTCTACTTGCTATATAAACATATATGCTATTAAAAACAATCTGAAAAAATGCGATATATCCGATATTTCAAAAACTCAAATAAGTTTCAAGAGACAGATCAATTCGCGAATCCTGGAATGATCGAAAACAAGCACTCATTTCATCACTTCAAAGCTTTCAAACAATTTCTGAAATCGTATATGATTAAGACTTTTCCGATAACAGAAGTAAAATAGCAAAACAATCCATATTTTTCCGCTGTGAATGCTACACACAGCCAAGAAATAGTTGGAAAGTGTCAATCAGCCAAAATAAAACAAGGTTAGCCAATAGCTGTGCAAGTGGCACAGAATGTTCCGACCATATTCATAAAAACTACACATAAAAGTTCTTCAAATTATTAAGTTCTGCAAATAAGCGTCGTTTTTTATACGTGGTGTGATGAGAATACTATACACAAGCCTGAAAAACTGGTAAATTAGGCTTAATCGACCAAAAAATGAAAAAATATTTTTAAAATTGTTCTTAATAGGGAAGTGCCAAATATAGCTTTCAAAAAATTTCCGTTTACAAAAATTAAAATTTTTAAGCCTAAATGACCAATTTATCAAGTTATCGTCACTTAATTCGATCGAAATTAGACGAAAAACCAAAAACTTCAAACCGTTTTTCTCGAATCACGACTGAAAGGGCTTTAATATGATATATCAATCAGCCCAGTCCGATGACTATTTGTGGTATCTATTTGTGGAATCTGGGAAAAAATAAAACACATCCGAATACTAAGTTCTTCCCCATTTTCCATGGTCGGAACAAAAATACTTGGCTTTAAGATCTTCGAATTTCAAAAAACTTTTTATGAATGACAGTTTTCGACAAAATTAAACCAATTTGTAGAAATTGACCAATACTAAGATATAATATTCTGCCGAGAAACTAAAAAAAAGAAAAGATCCATTTCCGAGAAAACTTGTTTACTTTGCGCAATTTAAGCAAATGAAACTGGAAAAAAAATTTTTAAAAAATCAACCGAAAAAAATAAAATTCGAGCGTGTAAAATTGTTCACAGAGGCGAAGCAGAAATTCGAACCACTCACGATTTAATTCACACATAAACACAGAGGCGAATTGCAGCTTCGTATCACTAGCGATTCAACACAAAAGCAGCATTGCAAGCTAGCGAAAGAAAAAGGAGACGGAAATCGAATCAAAAACATTTGGAAAAAAAACTTTCAGAAAAACAGTCGAAATACAAACCACCACAATTAAATAGGCATTGTATCTTTACCGAGTGGCCCCTCAGCCGACATAAAGTGGGTAGATGCCCATTGAGCCGAAAAACAAAAAAAATGTTTCAAAACAGTTGTTACGAAAAAAAATGTCAGCAATTACTTAAAACATTGAAATCTCGCGACACAAACTACCTGAAAATTTCAATAGAAACGTGAATTATTTTTTGCCCTTGAAGCGACATTATATAAGTTTAAATAATCCGTAAAAAGCAGAAGCCGAAACCATTTAGGCCTAAAAAGCTTTCAAGCTCACAAAGGAAAATCAAGAAAAATATAAGGTCAGGGCTATTATATCATTAAATTACAGGAGTGTATCAAAAAAGTTGCATCTACGATGAAAATTGCTCACAGCACAAGCAAAGTCTCCAATGTGGCAAGCCGAGGGAAGCAGTTTCGAAGTTGATACCGCTCACTTATATATACGTTCGCTTTTTAATATCATACTTACTGCCTTCTGTTCTGCGACGTACTCGTCCCACAGCTGCTGCAGTTCTCGAGGCAACTCTACTTTGGATAGTTGAAATGCACGCACTATGTCCCCAGACAATTTGCCCTGGTCTGTGGTGATGAAGGTGTACGCCACACCTTTGTTGCCCGCCCTCCCCGTACGACTTAAAAACAAACCTTTCAAGACACTCAGTACTGTAACTCTTTTTATCGAATACCTAGCTAGATGTTTTGATTTCGCAAATGTTAAGACCTCTGAGAATTCTGAGACGCAAATATATTACATTGTCTAAACCCATTTTGACAGTTTACTCGACGCATAACAATATATCAACGCAATACCAAAACAGCCCACTGAAAGTTGGAAAACAGTAATGAACGCAAATAAAGAGAAAAAACTGACTTCTTTTTGAAAAAACTTGCAAATTTTACAGAAGAAAAACTATGCACTTAAAGCTCTTTGAATTTCACAAAGAATTTATGTAGGACCCTTTTTTGATAAAACTAACCCAATTTGAGAAAACTGGATCAATTGGTAAAACTTTTTTATTAGGCTGGGTAATCTGATAATTAAATTCAACTTTCGAAATTAGAATTCGATCACGTGTTTCGTGAACTTTACACTTTTGCTGTTCGATAGTGGAGTTTGCCTCCTTTTAACAATGGAAATGCACTGAACTTCAAAAGAAATCACAAGTCAAACCGCGAAAAATTTGAGCTTGAACAAATTTCAAGACTTTTCCTGAAAAAAAATCACCATCACCGATATAAGAGTATTCACTACGTTCATTACTCTTAATAAAATGTCATAGAACATTCAGAGGACACCCGAAATTCGTATGTCTGACAGAAAAGACTTTGGTAGAAATTTACCAGTAGAAATTACGAGTCGATCATTAAAAATCAAAATTATTTGCCGAGTTCTGTGAGTAGTAGCAAGCCTATGTTGATATCTGAGAAACAAATTCGATCAGATACGAATTGAAGAGCTTGTATTGACAACATACCCGCATCTGTGCACGTAATCCTCGTAATGACTTGGACAGTCATAGTTGACGACTAGATACAGACTGCGCACGTCCAGACCTCTGGCAGCTACTGAGGTGGCGATGAGGAGAGAACACACTCCCATTCGGAAGTCCTGGATGACGGAGTCCCGGTCATACTGGTCCAGACCCCCGTGTAAAGCCAGGCAGGAGTAGGAGGCGTCCATGAGTCTCTTCAACAGCTTGTCAGCGTCCTCTTGTCGCTCCACGAACACCAAAGAGCTACCCTTCTCCGCATAGAGACCGAGGAGTTCGAGTAGCTTGTAAAACTTGATGTCTTCATCGTCCAATATGACCTATATATATCACAGAAAATACGTACCAAAAAGATGAGTGCTTAACTGCAAGAGAAAAAACCAAAACGCGAGATAATCCTATCGTCACAAATTGAATTTCACCCAATGATAAGGCGCTGTGGTTGAGTTTTTTTTGGAATATTGCGAAACCTTCAAGGGGCAACGCAACAAACACACTTGACCTTGGACCTCAAAAAATCATGTATTCGGATTTCTTATATTAGGACAGCGAACACAACTTGTCACCTCGGCCCGGATCAATTGTAACAATCAGTTTTTAAAGATTCTTTTAATAGGCGGTGTTATAATAAATCATAAATCAATTTTACGGCATTGAAACTTCAAGCAGCAGTCTTTCACATGCATTTTCGGCTTAAATTATTAGCCTAGTTTGAAACTTAAGCAGCCAGAGGAACCCACCACGTTTTGCTCGACGTCTGGACATACGACAGACCTGCCTCCGACCTGGATTTCGATGGGGTTGTCTAGAATGCGTCTGGCCAGAGTCTCCATCTGACGCGGAAAGGTAGCCGAGAACATGACTGTCTGTCGGTCCGGGCGCATATTGTCCATGATACGCATTACCTAATAAACCCAACAGATAATGTGACGCTTCAAAAGTAATTATATATTTTTTAATTGATTTTTTTTGTCAATTTTCGTAGTTAGCAGGAAGAGACTGACTTGGTTAATGAGCCATAGAATCTTTATCAATAGGTAAAGCTTTAAGCAAAATTCCACAATAGTTAGATTATAAATCTAACACGAAATATCAGTCTGAAAAATTACTCTGAAAAACAAAAATCTTCAGACCAGTTTTTCTCGATCAAAGCTTCTTTGCGGATTACGAATCACAAAAAGGATTAAAAATGATCGCGCGCTTTAGGCCAGTCAAAGTCGACTAAAAACACATCCTACGCCACAATTAAAGCCCGTTTCTTGAAGTGCTCGGAAGAATGAAGTCGACTGATTCTTATGCAAAATTAGCATGAAAATTTTCAATCACGGTACTAAAAACTCGGGAAAGATAGATTTTAGAAAATTGACCATGATTAATCAAAACTTTCTAGCAATTAAGAGTGAAGAGGGGTGGGATCTACCGAGAGTGACCAAACAGATAGGCAGTGACACTACCCGCCCAGCTCTGAAGTGGTAAATTTTCAACAAAATTATTCAGACACTGAATAAGTTTTTTTTAGATATCCCACATTAGACCCTAACGAGCTTTCTCTACATTAGTTAAAACGGCGCAAAAAAAATTTCCCGACGCCATAATTCTGCTTTGATTTTTTAGAGGTCGGAAAAACTCAAGCGTTGAGTACTCTTATGAATGCAACTGACCTGGGGTTCGAAGCCCATGTCGAACATTCTGTCTGCCTCGTCGAGCACACAGTAGGTGCAGCGCCTCAGATTAGTGACTCTGCCACTGTTCGCCGCCAGCATGTCAATCATGCGACCGGGAGTGCACACTATAATCTCTGCCCCCACCTTCAACTCCGCAATCTTAAAATAATGACAAATTGCTTCCAGCACCAAAATCAAGAATTTTTAAAATTTTGATGCTTCGAAGAGAAAGAAGCGAAGTTGTATCGGTTCGATTTTCCTCTTCGAAGTTTGAGATTTTTTTGACACAAAGCTTTATCCCCCCTCCCCAATAGTTTCGCATATCGTTGCGGATGAAGTACACATTTTCAACATCGAGTGTAAAGAACAAACTATTACTCCCGTTAAGCTTTATTCATTGGCTCCTTCATCTCACTGCCAAAATGTTTACAAACAGACCAGGAGCCTGACTACTTGCTGAATTCAAAGCAGAAACCCCCCAGTTAGTCTATATACAGTAGATATCTTTGTACCGATAGGGTTAGACCATAAAATATATGTTTGTTAGGACTAGCAGTGGTATACTATTAAATGTGTCGAGCGCTAGCAGAAGCAATGGTGTGGATGTAGGTAGTGTTACCTGTTCACTGATTCCGGTGCCCCCATATACGCAAGCTACTCTGAGGCCAAGTGTCTTTGCGAACTTCTTGCACTCTTTGAACGTCTGCAGGGCCAGTTCACGAGTGGGAGTCATCAGTACAGCTGCAAATAAAAGCAACACCACTTACACTCACATTAAAAATGACTCAACATTTCATAGGAGACTTTGAACAGGAGCGCATGAGTTCCAAATGAACCATCTAATATCGATTAGGCAATCATTAAAATGTTCCATTTCTTTCTTTTTGGGGAAAAATCACTACTGGCTGTTGATCTACTTCCTAGTGTTACAATTTCATGGCTCAAAACCTTCATTTTGATCGCCGCAACCCTCCCATACCCTACAGAATGCAACTTGTTCTTTGTTGCTGGCGCTCACACATTCACTCACCTATGGGTCCATCGCCCTCCTCCAGGAAGTCCTGGTCCATGACGTGTCTTATCATGGGAATGACGAAGGCTAGTGTCTTGCCGCAGCCGGTCTGTGCAATGCCCAGCATGTCCCGCCCACTCATGATCACCGGAAGCGCCTGAGCCTGGATGGGGGTGGGGGCCTCGTACTTGTTCCTATTGACACGAATACACATATATAACAGAGTCGAAGATGATTGATCTACCCATCATTTGTGATTATAAATGAAACATAGCCAACAGGTAGGGAAAAGTGTCAAAAAATTCCAAGAGACCCAAAAAAAAGTTATTTCAACTTTCTAGTTTTTAAGATAAACTATATCAGCTTCAAGTTTTTTGAACATCATAATCTTTAATAATTGCCACGTTTCTGATAACACTAACCCAATTTGAGAAAGCAAGATCAAATAAAAACTACCGCAGACAATTCTGAAAAAAAGACCAATTTTTGCTATTCCATAGGGTAATTTCCCTTTTTAGCAAATGACTTTCAATTGATGTTAATAAAAATCGAAGTCAAACCGCTAAAACAAATTTTAGCGTCAGCAAATTACTGAACTGGAAAAACTTCAACAAGACCTATAAAAGTGTCTTCACTATGTTCATTGACACTTAAAAGTTACACTAAGGCAATGTTGGATTGATATGAAAAAGAATGTATACTTAAGAGCACTCCTAAGCGCATTTTTAGTATGAATGCACTTCTTTTGTTATCTATATATTGATCACCGCAGAAAATCAAAATTTATCGTGAACAAATTTTTTCCTGATTAAAAATCAAAAAGACCTCACTACGTTCATAACTCTATATATAAAATCCTCTTTGATCTGTATCTGTATATCACTTTTTTTGCACCATTTGCACTTTCATTATTATTTAAGATCGTAATATGCCTTCGTTTAGCGAATGAATTTGAATTGAACTTGAAAAAAGTCAGACCGTCGTTAAACCAAATGAATTTCAGTTTACAAACCACACTTTCCTCCTGTGCTACGAACTCATCCGCATAAACCCTTATATAATTAAAACATTCATAATAGAGCGATTAAACACATGATACTAAATTTTCGCTAGAAAAAAACTTGAACAATAAAAGAAGATAATCTGAAATATATAACCAGAGGCGAAGTTGCATTTCGCATACTTAAGCAAAAATATGACCGATGACGCTACTGGGAAAACTGAATGAGTAAAATTTTGTGTCTACAAAACTTCTCAATAGACGCACGCCAATTATGAGTCTACGTAATTGCTAACTGACGCAAGCCAATTAAGACGCATTAGCAGAACCAGTCAATTTGAAAAAAAAAGAAACATACCAACTAACATGCCTCAATTTATAGAGCGGACGCATTTTAACTTGTATACGAAAAAGTTCATTTAAAACATCCGAACCCACCCAGGTTCAAACCCTCTTATTTTACTGCGGGTCTCCTTCCCTACCTCTACGCTACAGATCAATGATACCTTGAAGGTATAGTGCTATTTGTAATACATTTGTGTTGATATCCTTAGCATTGGCTGTACTTAATAGCTGTTTATTGATCGAAATGAAAAATTTCAAAATGAACACTAAAATTTGCGACTTAGGTTGGGAAAAAAAGAGAAATCATACTATCACACAAGCTTTGCTTGAGTAAACAGGAATGGATACTTAAGTTGAAAAATTGAACTCGAAATCAACAAAATTATTCTGCAAATTAATATCTACTTTCAAAACTAGAAGTCGATCACACTTATCGTGAAATTTACACTTTTGCTGTTCGATAAGCGACTTTGCCTTCCTTTCATTAAGGGAATGAACTGAACTTAAAAAGAAATCAGTAGTCAAATCGTAAAACTTTCCAGGAAAAAAAGTCACCAAAGCATATATTAGAGTACTTACTACACTCGCTCATGACTCTTGATTAAAAAGTCGGTGTCGGTTTAGAAACATCATATACTCAAGATTTTACATAGAGGCGAAGATGCACTTCGCACTTACTAGCGCGAAAAAGACAAAAAATTCTGCTACTGTAAAAATTCTGCTACGTCTCGGATTCGATCTACGACCTAGAGATTATGAGTCTCACGAACTATCTACTCAGCCACGGATGCGTAAAAACTACAAACTCTAGCCACAAATAAAGAAGAGAACAGATGCCATGAACTTCCAATGCTACAGGTTATGATTATAGCAAGAAAGCCACCAAATAAGTTAACGACTTTTACTTGCGAGTTAGTTTGGAAAAAAGCTAGTTGACAAAAATGGGACGTAAAAGGTCACTAAAAAGAAGATCTACCAAAATTTTCATGTTTATCTCGAAGATACTTCATTTTGAAGACAGCAGGTCAAACAGAATTGAAACAAGAATTGAAAAAATTCTGAGAAAGACACATTGAGCCGAAAAAAATGTCATAATTTTGAGCTATGAAAACTTTGAATCTGGTAGTTTTTGTGCACCCCCCCCCCGACGTCAGCACACAAATAAAAATTTTATGCATCAATTCAAAGGACGCAATACCACGCGGTTGAGCCAAAATATTATCGTTTGAGTTTAACAGCAGAACTTCAGTCGAAATCACGAATCAAAAAACCATTGACAGAAATCTTCAAAATTCTAAATTCTGTCGTAATAAACAATAAACGGTCGAAACAAGCCTGTTGAAAAACAAGCCTGTTGAAAAATTAGGCTTGGTTAAATTGAATTTGTTTACCAGGAGGGGATCAGCCGGAAAAAAATTGACAAAAAGCAAGAAGCCTAAAAAATATTTGAAAAACCAAAAGTAAAGATGAAAAATGTCCGGTGGGGATTCGAACTGCATGCCTGCGTCGCACCAACCAGATAAGATAGCAAGAGGCCAACCACGCGCTATGGATTTGTGAATTCAGTTTGAATATTAAAGCAAGGTAGCTTTCTTACTCTTGATTAGGACGACCACTCTGTGAACAATTTCTAGCAAGGTATCTAGTACTTGGTTGCAATAAACTAGCTAATCACAATGATAACTAAAAATAGAATGAACAGGTTGACTGTTTCAAACAGTTACTCTTTTTTGAGCATTTATCCATATCATTCCAGTATTTTTTGTGACTTTCATTTGGCACTTAGATTATGACTGGATTTTTTGTACCTTTTCATCGATTTAATCGATGTATAATGATATCCTTTTGTCCAAAGGCTTTTTATATCAAACTTACTTCTTGAGCACAGTGAGGACTGACTTGGATACTCCTGCCTGCACCCACGACTTGATGGGTTTGGGACAATTTGCGCCCTTCACCTTCGTCCCATCCAAATCATTCTCTCTGTATTTACTCACTTCTAAACAACAATAACAAAATCGCTATCTAGAGAACAAATATATACCACACACAAAAAAATGCACGCTACTTAAATAAATCACTATTTACTTCGACTACTTAACAGATCTTGAAAATTGATTTAGGTCAATTTGTAGCTTGAACTGAAGTGAATACAGGCAGCCTCAACTAGATTCACTTTGGCTGTGATTGACGCAACACTTAGGTTTTGACATCGAGCTAAGTGATACAATGACCCTAGTAACTTCGGCCAGTATTGTGTATTGTATGCATAAGAGTATCTACTCCACCTACCAGCCTTGGTCATGCGTGCTATCTCTGGGACCTCGACGTAGAACTGTTTACTGAAGGGAGGATACTCGATCTTGGAGTGGTCAACCTGGACTAGTTTCAGTCGCTTGTGGTCTGTCGCTGCATTCAACTCCCCCAAAGTCACCTTGTCCTCTTCTTCCGACGAATACTACACATATATACACAATATATTGATTGGAACATGAACATAGCCAACATACAGTCATACAGTGCTAATTAAATTTGTTAATTAACTCAAGGAAGCAAAAAACAACAACTCATTTTTGTTTCGACCAAGTCACTAAAAGGGTGTGATATTTCCCAGTAGATTTTGACTACTTCACGGAAAAAGCGTCGAGGGGGGGTTTAAGTCGTTAAACGCTACTGTTTGTGATTTGGATTCCAAAATGAAATAAAAATAGTTTAATTAGTGTCGAGAAAAAAATGGTCCTAATTTTTCCGTTTTTCAGACAGAGAAATAGATGAGACTGCTTTCCCAATCTGCCTTTTTATCTAACTAGACACCAAATGAAGAATAAACATTTTCATTCCATGTTTCTTACATGTCCTAACTCAAAGGATTAGGCTCGGAAAATTCTGAATTATCTGCGCTAATTTGATACAACTAACCTACATTTTTTTCTATGGACAAACTAAATTCAAATACATTTATTTTAAATAACCTCAAACAGTCTATAAAATCAAAGTCAAAACGCCAAAATAATAATATGAGCGTAAACTTACAAAATTTGAAAAACTCATAAAAAACATCCGAAAACACTTGACCTTAATCAGTAAAAAAAACCCTTAACAAAACAATTGTATGAGAAAATCTAGCATATTGGTAAAGTGTTTCCATGATTGACTTTTTTCGATGAAATTACCTCAGTTGCAGAGAAAACCGTATTAATATGCAATGCGTTTTTTTTCTAAAGAGAAAATTTAAAATAAACTCCACCACTGATCTAAGAAAGCTAAGCAAATTTTTGGCAACAAGTCAAAAACGAAAATACCAAAATAGAGGCTAAACAAATTCCAAGACTCTTCAGGCTAACTGAAAAAAAACTTTAAAATCCATTTCGTTTATCAACACTTATAAGTGCTGTAATTTTCTCGACGCATACTAATCTAATAAGTCGTCTCAAAGGATAGCCAAAAATGATTTTTGTAACAGAAGAAATAACTTAAAAACACTCACTTCTAGCGCATCCTGTCCCTGTTCTATCAACACGCCTCTCTTCTTCTCCACTTCACTCATCTCTTGCTTGTTGTTCTTGACACTTCCGCCTCTGCCTCCCACTGCTGCTGTTCCTGAGGTGGGGGCGGTTAATGCACTCAACTTGCCCTTGCTGGATGTGAGTGTGCCCCCCGAACTCGCACTGCTGCTTGAAGAGAGGGTTGGAGCTGAAACAACAGTTTTCTTCACCACCACCATTTTCTTCACCACCATCGAGCTGGCGCCACTGCCGTTTGTCGAATTGAAAAGGCCGACATCTCCTGATTTCTAAACACATACAGATAGCACATACAGGAATAAAATTTAACCCAATTTAATCAAAACCTCAAATTTTCTCTATTTGTTAAGCTCTTTTTTAAAATTCTTATAAATTAAAGTTTCGAACAGATATCAAAATAAACCGCATTAAACACATTTATCACAAAAATTGTCTGTGACGACCAGCGGCATAATCCTGAAAGAAAGAAGCTCAAATGTATAAATAATAGAAGAAGCATGTCAACTTAAAAACATAGCCAACTGAAGTAGGAAGAGTGTCAAAAAAAGTCCATTTTTGAAACTAGAATTAATTCACGTTTCTCGTGACCTGTTTTTTTTTGCTGTTCGTGACAAGTTTGTATGAATGAAATGACCTGTTCGCTATTCAAAACATAGCCAACAGACTTTTTCTTAAAAAACCAATCTGTCATGACCTAAATAAATACGTTCTTTTTCATTTGAGTAGAAAAAAAAGTCGAAAATACACCAACAAAATTTCTACAAAAACTTTCATATTTCTGTTTTGGATGATCTCCATAAACAGATATCGAAAGCATTTGGAGATACATCAATTACCAAGCGGCAACTAAAGCGACAAAACTTGGGTCGACCCTCGCTGAACCGAAAAAAACTGTTGTCACTTGAAAAATTGAGCAACCAATCCCTAGTGAAACACACAAAAATATTTAAAAATTAATTTGCCGCCAAAGCGGAATTTGACTAAATTGTTATATCATATATCGAGCAATCCGTTCAATTGAAAAAGGAACAAAAAAACAAACAAATAAAATTATTAAAAATCAAATTGGGGAATTTATAAACACAGAACTTTTAACAACATAGAAAACAACAAATCAAAAAAACCTTGGTCAGATTTGGTTAATTTATAAATAGCAGAACTTTCAATTATAATAAAATCAATTTATATCAACTAAAACTTTGGAAATGTTGAAGTAGATAATTGTATCGTAGAAAAGAATAGTTGTATAACTTGAATTATAAGTAACTGTAAGGCATCAAATCTAAATCTTACTGCAGCTTTGTTTTATATCGTACCGGACGATAGAGATCACAAGGTCATGACAGCAGGTCCCCAGACAGAAAGAAAGAAATTCATATCACTTACATAAACTCAAACTGGTCCCTATCTCATTCGGACAACCATAAATAAATTTAAGATCGTAGATGTAAAATTTATCAACTCATCCTTAGTTAAAGTTTTAATAACTGTTTTGGTTTCAACTTGAGTATTCAGGCACGCTCGCCAAACCTCTCCTTAAGGTTTTCTTCATCTCTCACTTGTGTTCGATTCGGTGAATCATCACTCCGCCCATTTTATCGACTCCTCTCCTTTGTCGCGTCGATTTTCGCGTTGCCTCCTCGCGCTGCTTTCGCTTACTACCGACGGTTTTCGGTGTCTGTTCTTTATCCGTTCCCGACGGTTCGTTCTCTCCGCCGCTCGCTGCAATTCTCGCCGCTTCGTCAGTGCGCCCCATGACTGCCCCGTCGCTATCTTCATCTTCATCACTTTCGTCCTCGCTGTACTCGACTATTCAATTTTTTCTCGTTTTCCCCGCTCGTTCCACATCTTCGTCCTCGCTGTATTCAACTAATCGATTTTTCTTTGTTTTCCGCGCTGGTTCCAATTCTAGTTGGTCCTTTTCAGCTTTCCTCTTATACTTTGTAGGCTTGCTTGGGCCCGGAGTGCTCTTTATGGGCTTGCTTGGACGCGGGGTGTTCGCGTCGATCCTTTCCTCAATTCGGCTTTCTTCAGCCGCCGATCTTAATGAAACACCACTTCGCCTTAATAACGACCCTTTTCCATTTGTACCGTGTTTCGTTAATTTTTCAATTTTTAATGGTAAACGTTTATACCTTCTTGGGTCCTTTGGGTCCGTTTTCCCGGTCTTCTGGTATACCGTCGTGGTACTGGTTTTGTGTCTTTTTAGCCATTCTGGTGCCTTAGGCAACTCTCGTGGTGCCTTGGGATCTACCACCTCCGTAACCTCAGGGTCCACGTCCGTCTCGATTAGGTCATGCTCATCCAAGACCCTTGGGGTTCTACGGTTTTCCGGGGCGTACACAAGATCTCTCCGTTTCTCCCAATCGAGAGTTAACTCCACATCAGCTAGACCACTCGCCTTGTCTAAACAAGATAACTTCTGGTTAATGACAGTTTTCCAATTTAGATTTTTCAATGATGGCTTTTTCGTCAAATTTCGAAGGGACATATTCGCTTCTCTTCCATGATAAGCCTCAAATGGCGTTAGCTTTGTCTTAGAATGCGGCACGAAAGGTAGCGCGCTCAGCGCACGGGATATCATTAATCCAAATTTATAGATTTTATTTTCCTGGAGGTATGTGAGCACGTAGTTTTTTATCGAGCCAATTGTCCGTTCGACCATTCCCGTCGCACGGTGGTCCTTAACCGGAGATTTCATGAGTTCAATGCCCTCATAATTACAGAAATTTTGTATTTCATTCGAGAAAAACCCCGTCGCCTGATCCATATGTAATTTCTTTGGGTGCCCATGGGTATTTATGTACTTACTTAGGAATTTTATTACATTTTTAGACTTGTTACTGGAACAGACATAAGGCAAAAGAGTATCTACTGCTACTAGTACATATTTCTTCCGACCCCGTACATAATTTACCGGACCCCAGAAGTCTAATTGGGCCAAATCATTAGGTTCCCTAGGCACATGAGTGTCCCCCATATCATTCTTTGGGATGTCTGGTTTAAGGTTTTTACCTGCTTCTAAGCAGCTTTTACAATATTTAGCTGTGGCGGCAATGTTCCTATGCATCAGCGGTATCCATATGTCCTTCGCGGCTGCAACATCTTATCTCGTCCATGGTGGTTGAAATGCAATCGGTTTAGCACTGCTGACGACATATCCTTCGGTATGGCCAGCCGGCCATCCATCCACAAACAGTTTTCGCGCACAGCAAAATCGTTGTAATGTTGGGCGTAATATTGCCACAATCTGGTATTGATGTCCTTGGCTCGTGGGTCCTTATCTCGGATCGCGTCACGGATCGTCTTTAGTATCGAGTCTTTTTCCAAATTGGCTTCGACTAATTTCAAATTTAGAATCTCAGGGTAATCGATTTTCTTAACTACTTTACTATCAGTATGCACTATGGAATAAATCCATTTATCATTCTGCACAAGTGATTAAGATAATCCGGGAAACTGATGCGGAAATGAAATAACAGTGTTTAACTTTTTCGAATTTGTTGGTTTCGGAATAACTTTTTCTGGCGGTATTACTTCTATATCAGAATCAGAACTTAAACTCGGCGGCTAGTTTAATCGGTTTAGAACTACATTGAGGTTTACATCTCCGGAATGGGTTGAGGTATTAACAATCGCGGAAGTTCTTGGATCGCTTTTCTCGGGTGAATTGATTGATGACATATTTTTTGTACTTTAATCTTGAATATCACAACTTGATTTTACGTACTGAGAACAACGTCTGATTTTCTCGCTTCGGCATTTGCATATTTCCGCCGGTATGCAAATCTCTCGATTCTGATTGGCTAACCGTCGGTTGCATATAACCACGCCCTCTAGTGAGCGCGTGTGCTCACGGTGAATATTTGCATATTCAGCTTTTCCTGTAGTTTCATTGGACACAACTTTTCTCTTTGAATAGAGGCATGACCGTTCGCCCTCTACTGTCGGTTTTGTCTTAATTTGATTCACTTTCTGACCCCTAGGCTTTAACTGATCCTTAGGATTCAATGCTTCGTTGATCATTTTTATTTTCGCTACTTTAAAACTTTCATCATAATGACTTGTCTCGGGTGCCGCTGCGGATGGAAACCGAGACAAATAGTCTGCCATTCCCACTTTTGACCCATGTCTGTGTTCAACTTTGAAATCATAAGGTACTAAACGATCGTACCATCGAGCTAACCGGCTAAAAAATGTTTTATTTCCTTTTGGAGGAAGAATTTAATAGTGTAAGCAACGCTTTGTGATCTGATATAACTGTAAAATAGCGGCCATATATATAGTTTCGAAAATGTTCCGTAGCCCATACTACCGCGAGTACTTCTAACACATTTGTAGAATACTTTTTCTCGGCCGGATTAAGGTACCGTGACGCAAACGAAATTGGATTGCAACCGGAGGCGCTGTACTGTTCTAACACGGCCCCTAGGCCATCGTGACTAGCATCATAAATTATCCTCGTTTCACGGTGAATATCGAAATGTCTAAGTTCCACTATGTTTTTCACCAGCAATTTTAATTGTTGAAACGCATTCTCGCAATTAGGCGTCCAGACAAAATCGTTATTCTGACTGAGTAATGGTCGTAATGGTGCGCTCACTTCCCCGAGTTTTGGCAAAAATTTATGCAAACTGTGCATCGAACCCATTAGTGATTTTAATTGCTTTCTAGATTTTGGTATTTTCAAATTTTCTACCGCTTGTGTATTCCGGACTAACGGCGCGATGCCACTTTCCCCAATTCGATACCCGAGCCATTCACACTCCGTTTTTGCAAATACGCATTTTCGTAATTTCAACGAAACATTTGATACGTCCAACTTCTTTAATATTTTTTCTACTTATGCAATATGCTCTAATTTAGTTCCCTTGGATGCAATTAGAATATCATCGATGAAAGCATTTGCCTGGGATAATTCCTTAAGTAAATTATCAATGACTTTTTGAAACTCCGCTGGCATTGACGTGAGCCCGTAAAACCCGTTTTTAAAGCGATACGTTCCCGTCGATTTTCCGCCGACTAGTGAAAAATTGCATTGCTCGCTCGTCTTTTGTTCTAAGGAAACTTGTCCGTACGCGTATGTTAAATCCAAAGTTGTAAAGTATACATCCCCCGCTTTTCTTTCTGCAATTATTTGACTTATCCCGTCTACTTGTTCGTCAATATTTGGCATTTGGTACTTACTCTTGTGTACCTGTTTATTCAGTTTTCTTGATTCGAATGCCAATTTTATACTTCCATCTATTTTTACTGTGATTACTATAGG